AAAAATTGGAAGATTTGAACCAAAAATGAAGGCGGGGCCCCCCCCCCCTACATCAAATGTGCCAACTCCACCATCCCCATTTTAAAAGATTTTGAATTTTAAAGAGATTTGAAAATCCGCCAACGAAAAAGGAAAGTCTGCTAAGTTTCATGTTTATGATGTATGAGGAAGAATTCAGACTTGAAAGATGACTAAAAACGTGTCGCATTGAAAGCCTTTTCTCAACATATAATCAACTGAACCTATTATATATAATATATATACAGATGATTGAATTTGCTGAAACCATGAGAAGGAACTCAGTTGAGAAATGTGATAGACGTCTCACAAAGGGAACTAATCCATTGAGGACTGAGTTGTAGAACCCAGAGAGTTGAGTTACCTCTATAGGATCCATATTCTGGAACCAGGTAATCCATTAAAGGGACTGTACGCTTAAATTCGAGATTATTTAAACCTTGGACTAATCGAGTGCAAAGAACTCTGTGTTTATCTCTGAAACTTAAAGTAAATTACGGCAATTTGCCGGTAAACTGGAGTGCAAATGAAATCACATTTATTTCTCGAAAATTCTGAAAATTGTCTGTCCAACGTGGTTTTTCAAAAGATGGAATGTACTTTCTGTGACTTCTAGAAAGTAATATTTAAACTTCCTAAATATGAAACATCTTGCAACTGTACAAGAAATAAAATGGATTCTTCACGATGAATTGATGAAATAGATTCTAAAAATGGTTCAAATTTTTGTTTACAGGAGCAACTGAAGCTTCAACTATGTTGTATTGAGACCAATTGCCGAATGGTCGGCAGTAGTCACCGATATCCCGGGATCGGGGTATTTGACTACTGTAATTTGGAAAATGATCCTAACGCTGGATTATCTCCTTAGGTAATTCTTATATACCCTTCTCGTTCTCATTATCTTAATTTATCCCCCCTCCCCTGTGATAAAGTAAGTTGACTTTTGTCCCTGGTTGAATTCTTATTTGATTTCTTCTAGGCTAGTTTTGGGGAAGCAAATTCGGACTGAATTGAATTTTCTTCTCTTTTTCTGTTATTTTTAGGAAACAATATTTTTTCTCTCCTTTTTATTTTTCATTTCTTTTAAAAACATTCCTGTTTCATTTCTGTTTCATTCCTGTTTCATTCCTATTTCGAAAATTGAATTTTCCCTACAATAATAAAACTTCAAAATTTTGCAAGTTATTAAGAAAAATTGTGAAATTGTGGGATAAATATTTCTCGCGAAATGTTTACAAATTTCATGTTTTAAAACAAATGAAAATATCTTAAAAATAAGATTTGTTTCAGGAAAATTTAAATTTCTGAAAAATCACTTTCCATTCCTTATTTAAACCTGACCATGGTTTGTTTCTAGGACATCGATAGAGATCCGGGAGACATGTATGCTTATGGACACGGTAGATACATTCGAATAAAATATTTAATTTGATATAATTTTAAAAATCCATAAATAGACATGAGTGGTAGTCGGTAAAGTTACAAGATCAAGTTCTTAATGTTTTGGGTTGGTTTATCAGGGAAATCCTACAAACTCCCCCCCCCCCCCCAGCCTCTAGTCATAACAGGCTTCGCGCCCATCTATTTTAACTTTTAATAGTGGCGTTTTCTCTGCGCATCTTCTCTTTGTACAGTATAAAACAAAAACAAAAAAAAGTTTGCGGATTTCTTAATATTTTTTCGTGCGTTTTCAAAATTTTACAGCAATAAAAATCTTTTAAACACAAATTTTGAAAATTTTGATCATTCATAAACATTCCCTGGGGTCACGTGAGGTTCCACACAAAATTTGGACCCAATCGGTTCAGCCTGTTTTGACGTTTATTGAATACAAACAAACAAACGGACAGCAGACAAGCTACATTTATGTAGATATATAGATTATCTTGTTTCAGCCGAACGACGGTGTGTGACGCATCTATTCGAAAGCCTTTGCTACGCTGCAAAGCAACAACAACAACCAAAACAACAACAAAAACATCAACATAAACAACTATATGACAACAGCATCAAGCACATTGGCACAAGCGCCTCCTCGGCAATAAGATGATAAAGGTATGCAGATTGATTCGATAATTCGGGAACAAATGGAAAATTGATCGTCGTGGACGAGTTGATGCTTTTTACCCGACAATTAATTTTTTTTTCTTCAAATCAGCCCACAAAAAAACCACTCCGCTCCAGCTTACCTAATATTTGGGGGGGGGGGGGTTACTTTAAAAAGGGCTGGGTAGGCGAATATATTATTAGTATCTATCCAATAATTTCTAATGCTATATTTCAACCTTAAATTTTCACTATTTCCAGAATTTGAGTATTTAAAGCCAAGAAAATAAAAGTGAGGGAGATCCCTTAAAAGTAAAAAAGGTAGGGTTACTCTTATATGAATTTTTTTTTTTTACGTAAGTATTCAATTTAATTAAAATTTCTATTTCTAGATAAAAATAATGAAAAAAAAGAATAAGAAGAATATCTAACACTGGATGAAGGAGTGCGAAAAGCAACCTATTCAGGTTTAACTTTAAGAAATAATAAAAAAATTATTTTGATCTATCCCCAATATTGATGGAGTTTTTAGAAATTTTGTTAGATACAATATTTAAGAAATCTGCAAACTGGACCGAATGTAAACATGTCTCATGTCGACTCAATTTCAAGAGATCCTTGATATAAATCTGAGGAAAATATCGTTTTTCTGACAAAAAGGTTTAAATTCTCTAAATTTCCTCCCTTTTGCTGCATAAAGAGAACCGCATTTGAAAATTATCAATTGACAAATGTGAAATGGAAGGTCGCTTGAAAGTTCGTTGACAGCCCATTTAATTCCCAACTTGTTTGCACTGAACAGTTTGAGCTGAGACATTTAATATCCATTTTAATATTTGATTAATTTAGTTTGTGTACGCCGTTTGAGGTTTCCATAAATATCCATTTTAATATTTTATTAATTTAATTTGTGTACTCCGTTTGAAGTTTCCATAAAAATCCATTTAAGTATTTTTTTTTCATTTAGTTGTACGCCGTTTGTAGTTTCCAGACGAAATTGGATTGTCAACGGGTGAGTTGATAATAAGTTAACATTTTTCTGTATCTTTTCCGTGCCCATTAACTGAACGAGAGATGAGATATCGTTTTAATTATCTTTAAATGAAACATAAAGGTGATTTTTAATATTTTGTTTTGTTCAGCTCGTGATCACGTGATACTGGGCAACTGAAGTCTGGAACCGTTTTCACTTATTTATTGTTATTTTAAGGTAAATTTTAAACATTGTTCGATAGTTTTTCCACATCAAAATATTCAGGATCCATTTCATGGTGATCCGGATCCTTAAAATTTTTATCCAGATTTATTCAGCGATTTTTTTAAAACTCCCTGGATTCTGGTACTGGGAACGAAAAAGTGTGGATAAAGCGGATCCGGGTACCAAGAACAGAAAAGTGGATCCGGGTTTAAGGAACCAAAACATGATTTTGATGCATGATTGATTGATTCTTGTGTTCACGTAATATATATTTCATCATTAAACGTATTCTAAGTAGCAGTGTTTCGGATCCGGATCCGCGGATCCGCATCCGTGATGATGGATCCGGATCCGGATCCTGATACGGATCCGGATCCGACAAAATGATACGGATCCGACCGGATCCGGATCCGAAACACTGCTAAGTAGTGTGTACTTGTAAGCATGAGGGAAGCTTCAACTCCTTCAACCTGCAGTCCATATTATCTTTTCTTCGTAAAAAAATCCCAAGACAAAGTTCCGCGATTTAAAAAAAATCATTTTTGTTTTGTTTAGGCAATTTAGTTTGCCGCCATGATGATGATGATGTAAATGATGATGATGACAAAGAGGAATATGATCAAGTTATGGATGATGAAGATGTCTAGTCTCTGACGTAACTAAATAAAGCTTGGTAAGACCTAATTAAATGGACTATTTACGCTGTGGTTTTAGCGTCTATTCTAAAAGGTGCCGTCAACTTAATTTTAAATAACCCTTAACCTTACGAGTTACTTCCCTGATTCACAACGGTACCCTTTAAAGCTTTTAAATCTTAATTTCGCGTCACCCTTTTCACAATAAGAAAAAGGATTTCTCTTTGCACAGACAACGGTTTAATTATTTAATGGAGTAGTGAATCGTGCATAGGAAAGTGAAAAGCAAAACTAATGTCGACAGTTCCTTTTTATTTTCTGTTATTTTCAAATGATATCTTGATATTTCTTAAATCCTTAATTAGAAAAGAGTGCTTAATGAATTGATAAATATTCAAAAATGAATTTTTCAGAAAGTTCCAACAGAACACAATCCGAAGCTCAACTGAACGAGTTTCAACCAGCTGATCGATATTTATGATTACCCCGCTTGATGAAAGTGCGAATTTGCGACTTATTGCAGTTTTGTGATTTTTGTGATTACACGGCTAGCTTAGCCGAGCTATGTATGATTACTATAATACAGTTAGTGATTGGAGATCCGGTGTAAGATATGTGGTAAACACAACAGCTGGAAGATTTGTGGTATACACAACAGCTGGAAGATTTGTGGTATACACAACAGCTGGAAGATTTGTGGTAATTGCTGGAAGATATGTTGCATACGCAACAGCTGGAAGATATGTGGTATACACAACAGCTGGAAGATTTGTGGTATACACAACAGCTGGAAGATTTGTGGTATACACAACAGCTGGAAGATTTGTGGTTTACGAAACAGCTGGAAGATGTGTGGTATACACAAAAGCTGGAAGATTTGTGGTATACACAACAGCTGGAAGATTTGTGGTTCATGAAACAGCTGGAAGATGTGTGGTATACACAACAGCTGGAGGATGTGTGGTATAGAAAACATCTGGAAGATGTGTGGTATACGCAACAACTGGAAGATTTGTGGTATACACAACAGCTGGAAGAATTGTGGTATACAAAAAAGCTGGAAGATTTGTGGTATACACAATTGCTGGAAGATATGTTGCATACGCAACAGCTGGAAGATATGTGGTATACACAGCAGCTGGAAGATGTGTGGTATACACAACAGCTGGAAGATATGTGGTAACACAACAGCTGGAAGATGTGTGGTTTACACAACAGCTGGAAGATTTGTGGTATACACAATAGCTGGAACATATGTGGTATACACAGCAGCTGGAAGATGTGTGGTATACACAACAGCTGGAAGATGTGTGGTATACACAACAGCTGTAAGATGTGTGGTATACACAACAGCTGGATGATTTTTGGTTTACACAACAGCTGGAAGATGTGTGATATACACAACAGCTGAAAGATGTGTGGTATACACAACAGCTAGAAGATTTGTGGTATACACAACAGCTGGAAGATTTGTGGTATACATAACAGCTGGAAGAGATGAGGAACCTAAATGCTAGAAGACTTGTGGTATACACAACAGCTGGAAGATATGTGGTATAAACAACAGCTGGAAGATGTGTGGTATACACAACAGCTGGAAGATTTGTGGTATACACAACAGCTAGAAGATTTAGTAGCTGGAAGATATCTTTACACCGAAGTGTGAAATAAAGTTTGATTACAAGAAGAACCTGTGTAACCAGCTGGAATTGTGATTAGAAACTGTTGGATTTATGATTACTCTCGGCTGGTAGATTTTACCCACATTTTCAAGTTTTGTGACTTATTTAGTTGCGCAACGGACGCGCTGCATTCACGTTTATAATCGTCAGAGCAACTGCACGCTCGACTTATTAGGGGCCCTTAGAGAAATGTAGTTCTTGCTCGGGGGTCCTAATGCATGTTTGGACTATTTTTAACCCCCGGAGCGGGTTTTTTGCCAACTTCAAGCACTTTTTACCCATTTATTCTACTCACATGGGTGGTGGGGCGACATGTCGGGTTGATTTATTCACCTAGAATCCGTTTCTTTTTTCATCAAAAAGTAACGCGATAACCTCCTAACTATATTCACTAACACCTTGTAGACAGCTTCTTATAAGCTGGAGAAGAGAAAAAAAATAAAAAATAAAAACTTGTTTTTCAAGTAGCAACATTTTCGATATTCTGGTTCTAAAATATTCAATAGTAAATTCGGACTTTTTTCAGATAAAATGGCTTGAAGTTGGGATATCTCAAGATGGCGGTTGTTGATGAAGACATTGATTGGCAGCTTATTAAGAACTTAGTGTTTGGGGAAGGAATTACAGAAAATGTTTTTGAGCGCTGGCTTCAGCCTTTTCAGTTCTTTAAGGTTAGTCTTTATTAATACTGTCTTTGAATATTTTGCTGCTTTATCCCATGGAGGTATTCACGTTTTCAAACTTTTGGGTCATTCCAAATCAAGATGAGTAAGTAGCCTCTAGAAATGACCATCTCCGATTATTCTTATTTTGTGTACACCACTTAATTTTCGGGAAAGAGGCAAAATTTCACATATAAAAAAATGGAGCTTGTGAGTTCGAGGCCAGGATTTAATTTGATCTTCTTGAAAATTCGAAAGAAAAAATTTGTAATTCGTTAAGCTTGTCTCTGCTTGGGACTGAAAGCGTAAATCAGCAACGGTACCCTTAAACAGCTTTGTCTGAATAAGTATGTATTAGATGTACATGTTTTGAAATATTTTCGTTGGCGCATTTCTTGCTTAAAAGATGGAACGGAGAAACTCAAAATTAAACAGAAATCAGAAAACTACAGTATTTTCCACATGTTTTGTTAGATTAAGGATTCAAGGTTACCGTTGCAAAGCGGGCATTGCCATCTTCGCATACAGTCCCTTTATGTTCATATATTGTCAGAATGAGCCAACTGCCCTGGTTCAGCATGCCGGGGGCCCATGTGCTGTGTTGGCCCCCCTCCAGGCCTTCATCATCAAACTCTGCCTTGAAGAGAAAATTCAAAATCTACAAACACTTTCGGAACAAACGGCTCGGATGCTTTTACGGCGAGCAATCTGTGATATCCTGAGTATTTGCAGACCTCCAAATAGGTAATAATTGATTCAAATTAAAAACAACGAATATTTCGATAAAATCGTTTAAACGGTTTATTTTCTTTTTTAACAAATTGAAATATTTCATCACAATGTTTTTTTAAAAATTACAATATTACAATCCAGAGGTCAAATAAGAGTGATTCCATTACTAATTATGTTATTTTTTAATTGGTGGATTTCTAGTATGTGATCTGATTCCGACATAAATCTACCAATTTAAAACTTTTAATTAATTAAAAGTTAACATTGTGAATATTAACGAGTTCAGTCACTGACGCAAACAAAAGTCGGGGAAAGCTCCTTATTTTTCAAATTCTCCGTTTTACAATCCACGAATACTTCCTTCAAAGTTTAAAACACTGATTTTATGATTTGAATAATTGATGTTATATTTTATTAGGGTAATTACGTTAGCAACTGTATCTAAAGAAGTGGCCTCAGTCTGGCAGGAAAGTTTAGAGGTAGACAATATTACGTTTAAATTTAATAGGTGGATGAATATTTTCTTTTCAAAATATTTCCCCCCTCTTTCTTTAAAATTCTTTTTAAAAACACTCATGAATTTTGCGTAGCTCATACATACTTCTATTGCAGGTCTACCCCTCCAGTAAACGAATGAAATGTGAAAATGTCGATGTCGACACGCTCCATACATGTCTAACCCTAGAGACATTCCAGACAGTTAGGAACCTTAACAAATTCATAGGTCACGTCGCCATCATAGACATAAACTTAACATCTATATATAAATTTAGCTTGTCTGTCTGTTTGTTTGTTTGTCTATATATAAATTTGGCTTGTCTGTTTGTCTGTTTGTTTGTTTGTATCCAATAAACGTCAAAACGGCTGAACCGATCGGGCCCAAATTTTTTGTGGGACCTCACGTGACCCCATGGAAGGTTTATGAATGATCAAAATTTAAAAAATTTGTGTTAAAAGTTTTTTATTTTTGAAAAATTTTGAAAATGCGCAAAAAAAATATTATGAAATCCGCAAACTTTTTTTGTTTTTGTTTTATACTGTACAAAGAGAAGATGTTCAGAGATAAAGCCACTATTAATATTTTAAATAGAGAATGGGCGCGAAGCGCCCTAAAAGCCTAGTATCCAATAAACGTCAAAATGGCTGAACCGATCGGGCCCAAATTTTGTGTGGTACCTCACGTGAATGATTTATTCAAGATTTATGAATGATCAAAATTTAAAAATTTGTGTTCAAATGTTTTTGTTCTTTACTGAACAAAGAGATAAAGCCACACTTAAAAGGTGAAATAGAACAAACGTTCATACAAAGATAAATTCGTAGAAATTATACTTTTTATATTATTTAATGATTAATTCATTAATGGCGACTCTTACAAGAGGATAATCAGATATTTGGCAGCAAATACGACATTGTGTGTTTCCTTTATTCGGTTATATTGACCCGGGGACCAACTAGGTACACTTTTTTACAGGGGTTATATTTTTTTGAAAAAAGTCAATTTTCTCCTAATGTATTTTTGTGCGAAGGGGATAAAATTTGTTAATGGTTTTATTCACTGAAATGGGGAAAATGAATTTTTGGGTAAAAAGAAAAAGAATGAATGAAGAATTGAAGATTGAATTTACCTTAAATGTCAAATTTTTCATTTTTTTCCTATCCTCTAAAATCATTGCTTTTAAAATTTTAATCCTCTATCATAAATACTTTTTTTATCTGATAATGAAATTTCCTTACAGGATTCCATTCTCCAACCCCTTTGTTATTGCCGAATTTATTAAAAGAAGGAATAAAAAATTGAAAATTTTAAAGAGGCAAAAACACTTTTCACAAAAATTGAACTTGTCAGCAAAATTTTTATCATAATCCTCATTCCTCAGTTTTACAGAAGAAACAATTTCCAAATACAACGGCCAACAAGGATTCCTTACAAATACTTAAAATCCCTGTTCATAATTTTTAATTATTATTATTATATTATTCAGGATAATTAACGAGAGGCAAGATATGGATGAAAGTTTAATAGGTAAACAACATAAATTATGGGTCAGGGAACTGAACCTTTGTCTCATCAAGAATGAATGAGATATCCATTATTTCTTCAAGCTGAAAATTGATTGTTTTCTATTATGGCGTCAAGTTTCTCTATAATAGAGACTTTGCTAGCTGTAACAAAGGGATTTTCAGAATTAAACACTTTTCAGTTTTAAGCTAGTAAAACTACGATATCTTCCACAGTTTTGTTTAAAGAAAGGTTACTTTTTAAATCGCGCATTCTCTCTGATAATGGAGGATTACTAGAAATTACTACGTCAATCTCTTAAAGCATACCATGATTTTTTGAAATACAACTAGTTTTCACCAACAACTGTGCTACTACATTTTACAAAGAACCCACTGATCTTTGAAATAATTAATCATTAAAAAAAATGATAACTTATAGATCCTGTACATGGTCATGGAAGTCAATCCTTAATTAATCTTCTCATCACTGGCTCAGCTACACAGGTAGGAGGTCATCCATAGGTCAAATAAGAGTGATCCAATGGGTGTATATTTTCTTGAAAAATCACCCCCCCCCCCCCAACCTCCTATTTCAAAAATATTTTTCCCCATAAAAGATATATATATTGGCTTGCGCGGATTTTTTATAGCTTTATTCGCTGAATGAATCGGGGGAAATGTTTTTTTGGGGCTTATGATCTATTTTATTTTAATGCGGATCCTGGATCCGCCCTAAGAAACGGACTCGGACCCAGCTCTTCTATTTCGACATTTTTCCTCATATTTCGATAAGAAACTTGATTTTTCATTCAATGATTTCTAATGTTTTTTTTTTTGAGCTTTTATTGTTTTGGTTGAAATTTTGCTATTTGGATCCAGATCCAGACCCGGGAAGCTAAAATGTTCCGGATCTAATGGATCCGGACCCTAAGCACTGATTGTTATAGATTTGTAATGATAATATTTTGTTGAATGTATTTGATATTTTGTAGAATGTATTTGATGGCACAAGAGACCTATGTGGAATGGATTTGACGGGTAATTATATAAAAAAGAAATCTTTATTATATCATATTAAGAGAAGTAATCTTGTTTTTTGTCAGTGTTTTTTTTCTGACAATTATTTTTTGTCAAGGAATCACAGAACAATCACAAATTGGATTTTTATCTTTTCTCGAGTGCCTCAGGTTAGTGATTTAGTTGACTAATTGATTCGGCTTCTCATTAATTCATTTTTTAAATCTATTTTGTCTTATCGTTAACCCGCTCCCGCTTACAACTAGCGATTAATCGTTTTCTTTGGTCAGATCACTCGCTCGTTTTAATCTTTTTATCCGATTTTTCGATTAATAATTTTATGCGATTTTTCGATGTACTCTATCATCGCGTTTTCTTGGTTTGGATACCTTTTTATGTTTTCGACTTATTTCCGTTTTACTCTTTTTTTGCTACATTTATTTGTTCTACATTTTTCTGTTTTGCTACATTTTTTGTTTTGCTAAATTTTTTGTTTTGCTACTTTTTTTTCTTTTGCTGCATTTTTTGTTTTTCTGCATTTTTTTGTTTCTCTGCATTTTTTGTTTTGCCGCATTTTTTTTCGTTTTGCTTCATTTTTTGTTTTGCTACATTTTTGGTTTGCTACATTTTTTGTTTTGCTACATTTTTTTGGTTTAGTCGTTTTACTCGATTTGATAGTTTTAATAGATTTTTTTCTCGTTTTAATTTCTATTTTGATATTTTATCTTTTCAATTTTGTGTTTCAATTGTTAAAATGGAGTTATCGTTTTTAATCGAAATTGCGTTTCAATCTTGAATTTTTTTTATTCGACGGGCAACGCCGGGTACTACATCTAGTAATTATTAATTGTTTATCTTTTCTTTCGTCATTTTTTCATAGCTGTCCAATTCATTAAATGGGGGTTACTTTGTTAAGCAGGAATTTTCCTCTAGGTATTTAGAAGTTGGAGAGAACCTAAAAAGTCCCAAGTTCCCAGTTTGGCTTCTGGGCTCGGAAACTCATATTACTGTACTTTACTCAAGGTACGCACTAATACCGTACTATACTCAAGGTACGTACTAATACTGTACTTTACTCAGGGTACGTACTAATACTGTACTATACTCGAGGTTCGTACTGATACTGTAAATACTGTACTATACTCAAGGTACGTACTAATACATTACTTTACTTAAGGTATGTACTTGTACCGTACTATACTCAAGGTACGTACAAATACTGTACTTTACTGAACTAATGCCGTACTTTACTCAAAGTACGTAAAACCTGTCCATTGCATTCAGTGACTAGAATTCAAGCAATTTTGATGCAGATCCAGATCAATTCTGTTAACAAAAGGATCCGGTTTTGTATCTAGATGCGAATTATAATCCCCCCTCCCCTTTTTTTCTGACAAAGAGCATCAACCCGTGGTTATACTTTGCAAGGTTGGGTTTGGCTAAGATTGGCTCAAATCAGGGAGGTTGCTTTTTCACATATAATTTTATAGAAAATAACTGGATTTATGATAAATTGACCAATGTATGTTTATATGTAGAGACCTGTGGCTAGTTCAACCTCCTTCACCCCGTGAGAAAGCTATTCGTATCTTTAAGGTAAACTTGCATATAATGCCCGCCAGCTATTTCAGTGTACATTTTCAAGAAACAACCCCTGGGGGTTTGCTGATCTGAGGGGGGGGGGGAATTGGACATTTAAGTTTTTCATTCTTTAGACACTTTTTAACCTGAACTATTATTTTTTTTCCCCCTAATAATCATTAATTTTCCCCAATTTCGCGAACAAAACCTGAAAGAAATGCGTAACTTATGGGAGAAAATAAATAGGGGGGAAGGATTTTTCAAGAAAATATACACCCTTGCAGATTGCCATAAACATGGTTCAATTAATTACGTTTAGGATTTATTCCAACATCTCAACTCCAAGATCATAATACCATATTTAGGAGTTGGATAAAGATGAGAGTGGATTTATTCCAACATCTCAACTCCAAGGACTACATAATACCTTGTTTAGGAGTTTGATAAAGATGGGAGTGGATTTAGTCCAACATCTCAACTCCAAGATCATAATATCATGTTTAGGAGTTAGATAAAGATGGGAGTGGATTTATTCCAACATCTCAATTCCCAAGAACTACATAATACCATGTTTGGGAGTTAGATAAAGAGGGGAGTGGATTTATTCCAACATCTCAACTCCAAAAACTACATAATATCATGTTTAGGAGTTAGATAAAGATGGGAGTGGATTTATTCCAACATCTCAATTCCCAAGAACTACATAATACCATGTTTAGGAGTTGGATAAAGATGGGAGTGGATTTATTCCAACATCTCAACTCCAAGAACTACATAATATCATGTTTAGGAGTTAGATAAAGATGGGAGTGGATTTATTCCAACATCTCAATTCCCAAGAACTACATAATACCATGTTTAGGAGTTGGATAAAGATGGGAGTGGATTTATTCCAACATCTCAACTCCAAGAACTACATAATATCATGTTTAGGAGTTAGATAAAGATGGGAGTGGGTTTATTCCAACATCTCAACTCCAAGAACTACTCACCAACCTGAATCTGTTTGCAGAAGAGGAGTATGTCGCAATTATGAAGGATAGGGTAGATAATATACTATTTAAGATATTATTGTTAATTTAAAGGGACTGTTGGCGTAATTTCATTGCCCGTCCAATTTCAAAGTGGTGTGTTCTATGAAAAATGGTAACACTTGAAAGCTTTGACGGTTAAATAATGCTTGAGATTTCCAAGATATTTTTTAAATTTTATTTTCAATTGTGGTTTCTTTATCAAGTGCCGAATGCAATTCGGCATGAGATTGAGAACCAACGAAGGAAATTGTTATTTTAAGATTAAAGAAATCTTCAAGCTAGAAAAAACGATGCTATATTCCACATCATTAATGAGATAAAGCTTTCGAGGGTAGCGTTGTGATCGGGCAGACCCCTCGATAAACTGATAACAGTTTGTGGTTTAGTTGAGTAGTTGAAAAAATCATATTAATAATCCTTAATCATAATAATATTTTTATTAAAAATAAGATTTCTTTAAAACTATATTTCAAGGTGGATCCAGATGGGTTGGGTTTGGTACTGATGCCTTTATTTCTTGAAGAGTTCTTTCCAGAGTTTCAGGTATTCCCCCACCCCTACTTCTTTGTGTTTTTGTTTATGAAATTCTTCCTTTTAAGATATTCAGGGTGGCGAAAATGTACGGATTTTTTATTTTTACTAAAAAATTGTACGGAATATACGGGTAATGTCTCAAATTCTACGGATTTCATGATTTTCATGATTTTCAGCCTGAAAAACATTTATTTTCGATTTTTACTGGGTAAAAAGCTAATTTTGCATGAAAATTTTCTTTAAAAAGTCGTCAAAATGGAGTTCAACTTACTATCTTCATTCCGAATTATATTACGTTGATTGTTGTTTCAATTGACAATCAAAATTCATTCTTTTATCTTTTCGAGAATATGTTCCAAAAGTGATTATTCGAGAATATGTTCCAGAAATACTTGGTGTCACACACAAAAAAAACTTTGCAGTTGTACCACTACCAACGGTTTATCTAATTGTATAATTGTAGGGTGGAGCCCCTGATTTCTTCACTCTGTACCACTACAACGGTTTATCTAATTGTATTATTGTAGGGTGGAGCCCCTGACTCCTTTACTCTGTACCACTACAACGGTTTATCTAAAACTGGAAGTGGGGAATATATTAAAGGTAACGTTAAGTCCAAGCTGGATAGCTTTATCCATTTATCAAGAGGGAATGGTTTCAAAAAAATGTTTACCCTGGCTGCTTCTCAAGATTGTATTAAGTAATCAATTGAATCGATTTATTGATTTTGAAACATCCTAGTTTTAGATATTTTTCTATTTCAGGATTTAGCGAATGGTTGACTTATTTATTAATTAAAAGAAAGAATTGTTTTTGATTGATTGATTGATTGATTGATTGATTGATTAAGGTGAGGCTGTGTTACTAGAGGGTATGTCAGGAAGAGCTGACAATAATCCAATGCTGCAAACTATTCAAACAAAGGTAATATCTCTTGTCAGCACTGTCGTATTGTCAGCACAATCATATTGTCAATCCTGGCATTTAAATTCTTCAACACAAAGCACACTTGAATTTGCAGCTGAATGCAAGACAAGCGGGTTGCGATAAGTTTACACACGCATATATCTGTACTCGAAGAACATACGAGTACCACTGGAAATCGGTCATTGCCCTCTTTTTATTGAGGGTCATTTGAAACCGTTAAGTCCTTTTAATATGTTAAAAAAAAATTTAATAAATAAATTGAAAAAAATCTTAATTTAATTTCAGTGGCCGAGTATAGCTGTGGACTGGGAGAGACCGCCATCAATAAACTAGTCAAAAACTGTCCCGTTCTGTAAATATGTACAGTACATCAGCCAATTGATTTCTCTGTACTATGTACGGATCCCAGCACTGTACAATATTCAGAGTATAGCCTTGTTGATAATTGTAAAAACTTGTCCCTCCCCCCCCGCAACTTTTTCTTTATTTTTCTTAGCCATTTTTAGCCACTTTTTTAGCCATTTTTTCAGCACACTTATTAATGCTTTAAGTATCTATTCTCAATCATGCATTTATAATTTTAACTTAAGATCTCACTTCATTTAGACCTTCTTCATATATTTCACGTACGCTATAATTACTTTATATATCAAAGATGTAGATATAAAATGTTAATTAATTATTTTTTTAATTTTGTTGAAATTAATAAAAGTTAGTAAATGATGCAAATTTTAGAATTTGTGTTTTATTGGGAGTGAAAGAAAATCAGCCAAGGTACAGATTCGTTAAATCTCACTTTTTTATAAACCCATTGATCTTTTAATATCAATTGACTAATCTCTTAAGATCTAATGCAATTTCGGAAAAATTCAATACTTTTTGTTGTCTCCTTTATATTCAGTGGTTAAATAATTACGTTATATGATATGTTAAGATATTTACAATTCAATCTTCCACTATGTTGTCGTTTTTATTATTTTTATTATACATACAATGAATATATTTTGTATAAATAGACTTATTAAATATTTTTAATGTACAAGAGATATGTAAACGTCAAGTAATTATATGTACAGTGTATACGTAACTAAGTAACAAAGTACAGCGGCGGCGTCTGGATATTATTGTGGACCATTTTATTCTATCAAATTTTGCCGTGGACCATCTTATATCAAATTTTGCTATTTAAAGGGAGTGTTCGCGAAAAATGAAAGGGGGTATAGGCTTAATGCGATAAAAAAGCGCTTTTGATCGCTACTAATCTTACTTTAACTGTTGCATCTATAAGGTAAAAATTACCGTAGAGCGTAGCGCCCATACAAATTGAGGAAGTTGGAACTTACGACTTTGGCCGTAAAGAAATCAAATTAATATCAAACAAATCATTCAGATATTACAACCTATAGTCATCGATTATCTTTCGCCACATTTGTATATATTTAATATTTCATACTAGTTTTGATTTTGTTTTTTAAAATAATATTTAGCTTTTAGTGGCGATCAAAAGCGCTTTTTTATCGCATTAAGCCTATACCCCCTTTCATTTTTCGCGAACACTCCCTTTAAGAATAAAAAATCTGGCGCTAGCGTATTATTTCTATTTTTTGTATCTTTTTCAATAAGAAGATATTTACTATTCAGTCATTCTTTTTTTTCTCAAAAAAATTTATATTTTGTTCTTTTAGGCATCTCAATTCATGTGATGCAAGGTTTCAAAAAAAAATCACAACCTAAGAAATTTCACTTTTATAATATAGAAAAATATTTAAAGCTGTTTGAAGTACAATTTAAAGAAACAAAACAAGCTGCGTAAGATAAAATAATAAATCAGGGTTGTAAATAATTCGAATCTTTTCCCCACCCCCCTCAAATTTTTCTTTGATTTCCTTCCCCAAATTCGATAACTGAGAAGACACCATTTTTTTAATACTAAAGTTGCAGTGCATAATAATCTCTAAAATGATGCATTTTAAAAAGTATAAATGGCGTCGCGGGCAAATTGGGTAATAGTATGGTGGCAATGGCACAACAAAGTCGGGATTGATTATTTGTCAGTCCAGGAGTATATTGTTTCTTAGAATTAATTAGTTTTCTTATATTTTTACACGTTTGTTTTTACTTCATTATAAATATTGGGGAAAATTATTTCTGAGAAACTCTAATTTTAGATTAAAGTTATTTAGTTATGTAGAGGTAAAGAGCTCCAGCCCTTTCCTTCACTTTTATCTGCCAACCTTCCAACAATTCTCTACCTTCCCTATCTACCCTACCTTCCTCTTATCTTTCCCTTCCGTAGTTCCATATATTCCTCTTTCCCTCTCAACCTTTCCCTCCCAACCTTCCCGGTCCTTACTGTTCCTCTTCCCTACCTATCTTCTTCCCTACCTACCTCCTTCCCTACCTATCCATTTCCCTCTTTTCCGCAGTTACCCTTTTCCTTTAATTTTCTCCCTCCCTCTTTCCGCCTTCTCTTTTCCCTTTTCTTTTCCTTTTCATTTCCCTTCCCTTTTCCTTCCTCCTCTTGGGTCTTTGATTTTATAAACCCCTGTAAATAACTAGGTATATATTGAGCACAAAGCCAGAACTGCAACAATTATTTTTTTGTTTCAACTTCAAAGCCTTGAAACATCGCTCTCATTTTGAAAAAAAATTCGACACGAGGGTAAGCCTTCCTTGTACCCACATACCCTTGAAAGATAAAATTTCGCCCCCTCCCCCTCACTAAAGTGCTAGTTACGCCCCTGATAAAGTACTGTGTACTTGGAACCAATTAACAATCTACAGTGTACCGCGGAACTAAGTAACAATGTACACTGTACATGCAACTAAGTAATAATGTACAGTGTACAATGGAACTAAGTCACAATGTGCAGTGTACATGGAACTAAGTAAAAATGTACAGTGTACACGGAACTTGGTAACCATGTACAATGTGAATGGAACTAAGTAGCAATGTACAATGTACACAGATCTAAGTAAAAATGTACAATGTACACGGAACTAAGTAAAAATGTACAGTGTACACGGAACTAAATAACAATGTACATTGTACAAAGTAAGATGAATTGAAAGATAACCTGGTTCACAAAGAGAAGACTAAGTGCAAGTCAGAATCAGATCTTGATTGCGATCTCTTCTGTAACACAAGCAGATATTTCATTCTCACCACCCTTCTCAAACCCTATTTCTCCACCAGAGAGCTAGAATATGTTTCGTTTCGTTAAAAGCCAACGGGGCAACTATTTGGTATCTGGTAAGGGGTTGGGCTTGGGAACCCAGCTTTGCCTGGGGCTATACTTTCCTTTTCAAGGGAGTGACCGGCAATGTATGGTGGTTGAGCTGAGTGTGCAGTATTGTAAAAAATCTTTTTAGGATTAATTATAGACATATAAACGTTTTTCACGATGTATAATTTTCGAGTTTGAGTGCAAAGTCGACGTTCAAAATCATGAATTTGGGTGGGTACGTTTTCAGAATCGTTTTATTTCTAAATTATTAAATAACGACGACGAAAAATATACAGTAAACTAATTGAATGTTTAGGAAAATATTTCTCAAAAGAAATTTGTCAATAAATAAATACTAGAATCAATTATTTCGTTTTCATCATTTTATTGAATTTGTTATTTTCTATGAATTTATTCGCAGAATTCCACAAACTCTTCAAATGTCGTCTTTTCAATAATAATTCTAGAAAATCTGCAGAAAATCTTTGTAAATAATTACAGATTATAGTAACTAACAATTGAATAAGATTACTTATTTTTAATGATAAGAGTTAATTTTTATTTTCTCAACCTGTTCTTAAACAACTAATTAGTTTACTGTAGAATTTTGTTTACATTTAAAAAAAAATAAAACGATTCTGAAAACATACCCATTCAAATTCATGATTTTGAATGTCGATGTGAATCTGACATGCCACTCTATCAACGGAGAGGCACTTGAAGTTCCATTTACAGTCCCTATAATCCACCCTGTACCTTAACAAGGCTACAGTAGTTGTATGATACATTTATTATGAATCCAATTAACAAAATCTAGGAACTTTCAAATTAGAAATAAATTATTTATACAATGTATATACAGACTAATGAAAGGGAAAGCTGAAAATCTTTATAAACATACAGGGTGTCCCAAGAAACATGACAGCCGGTGAATGGTTTCGAATGTCTTATTTCATTTACTGTTTTAGATATTTAAGACTGTTGAAATCATTTTTACGATAAACTGACACTTGACAGTCAAATAATGTTTTTTTTATTATGGATGAAGACATTTTAAGCTATTCACTAACTGTCATGTTTCTTGGGACGTGTTCCACAAAACATAATTTCACCGGGCATTAATATATTCCTGGAAACAAAAATCAAAAAATTTCAGGAGTTTCTGTAACATTTAAACCTTCATCTCAGCAAAACTGAAGATATTTCTACTTTTTATCTGAAAATGGGTTTCTATTTAAAAGTGATTTGCGGATATATACAAAAGAGAAACACATTCATATATAAAAAATTACGATATTTTCATCGTTACCCAGATAAAGACCTAAAGGGTATCTTTGTAAATAATGCATACAACTTTTTTTCATCGGAGGGTAACAGAAATTATGATGACAGTCCCTTTAAACTACCTGACCTGTGAGACCAATTTTCTAAAAAAAGAATATTATAATTCAAAAGCAGAAATTCTGAGGCTCAAAAATAAAATTCTAGCAATATATATTCAAAATTATTTTTGTGGTAGACTGTTACGTTCTCCTGTTTACTTTTTACTATACCTCTTGATTATCTTAACTTTTTAATTATCTCATTCTAGCCACCCCCCTTTCCCCCTCCCCCTTTTCAGTTGCCCATTGTGCGATAGTCCTGACTGTATGAGCACACAGAACCTATACATAGCTTCTAAACCGTATAGGGCCCGCATCAGACGATACCGGGCACAATGGGCCTCAAAAAAGTTATCAAAAAATAAAAAAGGGATGATAGTTTTCTTATCATAAAATTTTACACGAATTTGTCAAATTTAAGAAATTTAATGAATGAAAAATTGTATAATGTGAGGTTGGGCGCCACTGATGGCGCCAGGCTCAAGATAGGCGCCGGGTCTAAAACCAGTTGATTCGCACATCTCATATACGCATACGCAGCTCTCACTGCACGCAACTCAAAATAGGCGTTAAAAAATGCCACCAAGCGTACGCAATGTGATTATTAAAATTTGTTGTGATAGTCTCAAGATTGGTGATTGTTTTGATCGTGTGAAAACGTGATTGTTTGTTGAGTGACTTTAACGCGGTTTATTTGTTTCCGGGTTAAGCGCAGAGGAAGAGTAGGCGAGGACGAGGTAATCTTAGACCTTTGTCATCTTCCACATATCTTTCAATATTATCTATCTATTTATCTATCTATCTATCTATCCATCTATCTATACATCTATCTATCTATCTATCTTTTTATGGCTTAACCGTAAATATGATATATTTATGCGTCTGCATGAGTGTCTTTAAAATTGTTGAAAATGAGTTATTTTTTTCTGATTCTTTAAATCTTAACTATTTCAAGCTTTCGTGGTTGGTTTTTACTGTTTATTGCACATTAAAAATCAAATCAATTTAAAAATCTCCGAATTTAAAATTGAAATTTAAAATTGGTAGATTTAGACAATTTAAATTTTTTAACACACCCGGCTTTATAACATATTTTTATCCATTATATCTAATTG